CTCGGTCTGCAGATCTTCCGGGAACAGTTTGTTACAAGTGATTAATATGCAAAATTCAAACGGGGTTGGTTAGTTTTGATTTGACTCCTGGGTGACGTAGAGTTGTTTCTGTTCCCTGATTTGGGGCCTTCTCCAAAGCCCACTGAGTCAATGGAAAGACTCCTATTGACTACCACAGCCTTTGAGTCAGACTATTGATGAGCATAACTCTGAGGCCTGGCGCTCATTACAAAAGTTGCACAGATGTAACTAAATTGTTTTAAAAGTGATCTCCTTCCACTGGGGCAAATCCTTAATGTGAACGCACCCAAATGGATTTAAGCCTCACTTAAATCTATTCTTTAAACGAGGGGTTGAACCCTACTAGAAGTGCACTTAAGTGAGGTTTAAACTGGTTAAATAATAGTTTTAAGTGAAGTTTAATCCAGTTTAAGTGCATCTACATTAGGAACTTGCCCCACTTGACCTCAGTCACTTTTAAATCAATTTAGTTACACCAGTGCAACTTTTCTAATCTGGACAAACCCATAGAATCAGGTTTCCTGTGCAAATAGTCATGTAGACAAGCTCAGCATTAACTTTTAATGGATATTCTCTGACATATAGAGGCCCAAGCCTGGAAACGTGCAGATGAGTCACTTTACTCACCCATTGGTATAACTGGAACTACTTGTGTGAGTCAAGTTACTTGTATGTGTAAGTGTTTGCAGGATCACGTCCTTAATTCACTGTTCCCGTGATTATTTCCACCGGTAGAGTCCTTCGCTAAGATATTTGTGGGGACCAGACACAATGGGGTGCAAACTCAGCCGATGCAGATTCTATTTTTGATGCATTCAAGTGAATGTTAGTGGAAGATATTTTGAGGGATTTTCCCAGCTCCAGAACTAAGCCGTACTTTTAATTGCTGTTTTTATACTTTTGCTGTTTTATTTCTTCAATAAAAACTACTTGGTTAACTAGATTCCTAAGCTCCTGGGGCTTCCATCTCTTCACAAACAAGATGAGAAATGTGAATTTCCTTAGCCAGTGAGTCAACTTTGTGCTATTTAATTATTCATGTGAGTTATTATCGATATCTGCCTGTCATGTAGCACTTTTAGACGCAAACCTTTCACAGCCATTAACCACTTGCTGAGCCAGGTTTAACTCATGCTGATCCAAATGGATCAATTGTTTGTTGAGAGTAAAAAGACAGAGACTGATGCATGAGACAAAGGGGAAAGGTCTGTACTGTGGACCCCTGGTTCACCCGGGTAAGTCGTTAGTCATATGAGTAAAGTTCCTTGGAAGACAATGGGGCTTTTTGATGAGTGAGTGAACTGCAGTGGGAACCAGAACTCACTATCTGCCCCACAGAAGAGATGCAGACAATAGGGCTTGGGGCAGGGTGGTAAGAGAAATCAGAGAGAGACTGAAAGTGACAGAACAGGACTTCAAAAGATGAGCGAGAGAAAGAAATGGGGTAGAGTGACAGAAAAGGATAGAATTATTGCTCATTAACAACATGCATTCAGGCAGCGGCAGCTTTCAACACAGTATGATGTCAGTGCACTCTGCAAACATTAATGCATCAAGCTTCACATTCTGTGCTGTTGGCTAAGGATTAGTGTCTCCATTTTTTGTTTGTTTTTTGTTAAGGGGCCCAAATGGGAGCTGTTGGGTGCTGAGCTGTACTGAAAATCCAGCCCTAGCTGTTAAAATATGGACTTAACTGCCTTTATTTAGACCCCCCCCCCTTTTGAATATTTGGCCATGAGTGAGTTGCCCAAGGTCACGTACTTAGTTCATGGGTGAAATAAGAATAGGACCTAAGAATCCTGCCTTATACCCTAAGTAAAGGGGCAACAAGACAGAAAAGAGAAGAAAGAGTGAAAGGTGGAAAGAAGAAGGAAAAGAGGGAGGGGTAAGATGGGCAGAGGGAGATAGTGTGGGGCAGGGGCGGGAGGGGAGGGAGAGGAGAGATGGAAATGGGAGACTAGGGTCATTTTGATGACTGGAGTAGAGAAAACACAAAAGAACTGGGTGGGGGAAAGTAAAGAAGGCCAATGGGAAATAAAGAGAGTGAATGTCCCTCTTGGACAAAGACAATAGCAGGTGAAATTAATGCGAGCAAAGAAGCTGGGAAACCATTTGCCTGGTGACACATATTTCCAGAGAAAGATTTTTTGAGGAGCATTGTAGCTGATCATTATATGGGTGTAAGCAGCCTACTGATCTGACTCATCAACCACCCCAAGTCAGTGGGTGCCACAGGAGCCCGATAACGAAGGATGTCTGCAGAGGTGGAATCGCATTGGGCATGAGCATTGTCATGATTCCTGCATCCAGCACACTCAGCAGAGAGCTGGAAACAGGACTGGAATGAGTGTATGTGTCTATATGGAGACACTGAGACTGTACCAGAGAGGACTCCTATTTAGTGAAAGCTTTTCAGACTCAATGTTTTGCAAACAGCATTTTACAGCAGCTGGATTACTGCTGTTGGCTACAGAAATGTTTATTAAAGAGGCCTAGCAGAGGTTAATCACCTGTCAGTTGAAGCCATCATATCAATGGGATATGTGCCCTGGCTCTTTGAAATGCTGTGGCATACTCTCAGCTGAAGTTTCAGGCCTGGACATCTTGTCTCTATGTGTAATGAGGGCATAACACACAGAGTGCCACAAGGTCTTTATTTCCTAGTCCCGGTCACCTGCTCTGGATCAATTACAAAAAAAATAAATAAAAAAAATGGAATACCCTTGTCACACGCAGAAGTGCGTCTCACTCGTGGGGCTACTAACATACATTAGTGAAGCAGAGAGCATTCGGGGTGGGGGGTCTTTTTCATTCAGCTCTCTGCTGCAATGCTAAAGCACGTTCCATAGGAGCTGGATTTGACAGGGGCTTCGGCTTTGGAAAGGATTTTTACCGACCTAATAGGATCAACTCTTGCAATTTTGTCACGAGTCACATGATATTTGGTGTTTTTGCTAAAGCTGCAGTTCCTGAAGTTAAGCGATTACAAGATAATCCCAGTTTTCACTGAAAGACAAAAGTACATTTCTAGCCCTCGTGATTGTGGCTAAAAGCTTGAAAACATGATTCAAGTGAAATTGGAAAACTCAAAAGCCAGAAGGCAAAGAAAAAGAACCCATTATATATTATTGTTAAGATGATCTCACAATTTTGGGGGGTGTCATTCATGATTTTTGAATGCTCAAGATTGACAATGCTTGGGGATGGGTTGAAAAATGCCTGTTTTTTTCTTAACATCTCAACACCATAAGCATGTGTACAGCATGATTTATTTTCAAACCACCCGTATGTATTTTGTAAGAGTTCTCTTTCCATTCATCCAACCTGTTCCTTTGTGAGTGCTGCCTCATGGAGAGAGTATTCCCACAATGCTTTCTGCTGTTTGAAAGGTACTTGCGCTCAGCTTTCTTGTTTGCAGGATGGTCCTGCAGTCCAGTAGGAATACATGTGAAGCGGTGAGAAGTGACAGGAGGGGAAAGATGAGAAGATTTTCACAACCAAGCAATCTGCTGTAGGACAGGAGGAATCAGGCAAGAATCGCAGACAGATATCCTGGGTCCCTGCGAGGAGTTTCATCTGGTTCCTTTCCAATTGAACCAAACCAAAGTGTGTATTTGGAGAAGAAATGTTCTCTTTCCTATTAATTATGTTGCTTTATTTAGAGTGATGTGAGGGAATAAGTGGATGAAACTGATCAAAGGGAAAGCTAGAGTGGATTTCATGAAATATTTAAGATCTATTCAACTACAAGAGTCCCCCAAAGAAAGTGGAGTAATCCCATCCTTGGGGTAATTTAAAACAGGACTGGACAAAACAGTGCAGAATATACTGTAGGGAAGAAGCATGGGAGGGTTGGGGGTAGGAGAGAAGATGGGACATCACTGGGTTCTTTCATCTCCAGGGTCTAGGATTCACCAAATGATAACTGGAATAACAGCTCTTGCTGTGAAACAACCGTCCATCCTGCAGTTGCTTTGGTTGCAGAAGAAGGGAAGAGCTGTTGATGCAACAAAAGAGTTAATGTGTTAAGTGCATGAAAGTACACTTAAGTCAGTAGGAGTCTTTCCATTAATTTTACTGGGCTTTGGACCAGACATGGGTTCCTCTATGACCTAGGTCACAAGTGACATGAGTTTTGAGGGTCTCAGTCTCATTCTAGCCAGCAGTTGTTTACATCACAAATCTAGTTTGGCATGATTGGCTATTGCTGCTCAAGAGAAGTCAGGAACTGGAAGAGCAGAGGGTGCTGCAGGTTAGGATTCAGGTGCATTGGCAGAGCTGTGTAGAGAAGACCAAGACAGGAATAGTAGGGGAAGCTGCAAGTTCAAAATAATAGACATGGAGGTGCTCTGATTCCATGGAGAAAAGTGCAGTAGAAATGCATAGGCAGATTAGCTGCAAAAAGGAAGCAAAATAAATAATTTGTTTAACATGAGCAAATACAGCACATGTGATGTTGAGTATTATTCCACCATGTTCAGACATATCTGCAGCTCAGAACTAGTGGGGGGGGGGGGGGTGTTTGTTAAGCACAGGCCCATGTGGAGAGTTCTAGTTTTACAGATACTTGAGCTGAGAAGTGGAGTCATAAACCCAGGAACCACAGCTCCGATCCCCAAATGGGCTCTCTCGCACCGTAATGAGGCGAAAACAAGCCCTGGGTAGGAAACCGAATCCTTTCAAAGTGAGATAAAGAAGGGTGAATAGCAGAAACTGAGAAGGCCACAAAGCAGGGCATAGCTGAGGCCTCCAAACCAAAACCAAATTGGTGGTGAGAGAGATGAGATGTAGTGAGTGAAAAGGGAAGTGAAAAGACAAGAGGGATGGGACTAGCGGGCAGTGACTGAGAAAGAGTTTGAGTTGTGGTTTTCACTTGCTTGGATTCCTTCTACAAGCAATGCTCCTCCCTGGAGGAGAGATTGGATGATCAACTAGTGGTTGGCTGTGGTGTGGCAGGAGGTAGGTTATTGGACTAGAAGGATAACTAGTCAGCGCTGGTGTGGTGGCTCCTATGGGCTATGGAGCTGTTAGGTGGGCAGGTTGGGGGAGGGAGATGGGCTGAGGAGGGTGTTGCGTGGGCAGGCTTGGCTGATGCCTTTAGCACATTTCCTCTCCTCCTCCCCCTGATATAGGGCCGCCCTGGGGGAAGTGCAGAGAGCTGGAGCCCCCGAGGGACAGACACAGCTTGACAGACTGTATCTCCCTCTGACACAGGCCCCAGGGCTCTGTGAATTCACACTTGGGCGGCATTCGTCTAAGTCTCCGGGCAATAAAGGAATTTTGAATCTGACTCGGACATGGCGCGGGGAAGCTTAGACAGACACCAGGACGCTACCTGCTCCCTTCCCCTGTGCTTCGACCCCTTGATCAAGGGATGTGTGAGGTGCACAGACCTGCCTGGACACTCCGAGGAGGACACAAGTAAGAGAAGAGTCTCTGGGTTCCCTGGATGGGGACCAGGCACCCATTGGGGATCGGCCCCCTCTTGAAGGGAAAGATTCCAGGGACTGCAGGAATGAGAGAGAGAGAAGGTGGAGACGGGTTCAGGAAGGCAGGGGAACTTCATCCCAAGAGGTGTGGGGAAAAGAAAAACGGAGGAATGGGACAGTCACCGACAGCCAGGGAAGGGGAGGAGGGAGAGCCAGAAAGGTGAATATGACCCCAACAGCTAGGGAGAGAGAGAGATCTCAACCCACCCCAGAGATGGAAAAGACAGGCAATATGAAAGGTGCCCCATCCGTACTATGGGCCCCATCCTTTAGGAGAGAGAAGGTGAGGGACTTGGACTATTACTTCCCTGTGTAAGGGGGCAGAATGGGCAGATGTTGGGAATTACAATTGGTGAGGGAGTTCGCCCCACATTTGATGAAAATATTGGGATTATCCATTGTGTTTTAACTCCCCAGCCCCTGAGCCCAAAGCTGAGACCATCCAAGATACCATGGGCAGGATTGCTGTCCTCAAGTCTGCACAGTAGGTCCCCTCGGGCTGACCACTGCCTGTCTTGCTTTAATTCCCTCCACAGCATGCCACACCAGCGTAGCTCCCACCTCAACCCAAGCACCAGCGCCTGGCCCAGGTTTGATCTTTGGGATCCCTGCTTTAGTGGGGCTAGTTCTGGTCCTGGCTGCACTCTGTGGATTGCTGACCTGTAAAGTGAGGAGGAGGCGGCAGAGGAAGAGGAGGATCCCTGATGAAAAGCCCAAGGGTAGGTGTCTTTATTTCATAGATTTTAAGGGCAGAAAGGATCATTGGATCAGCTAGTCTGACCTCCAGTATAACACAGGCCAGAGAATTTCACCCAGTGATTCCTTCATCAAGCCCCACCCCATGGAGCTGAACCTGAACACATCTTTTGGATAGACATTCCGACTAAGTGATGGAGAATTTACCACATCCCTTGATAATCTGTTCCAATTACCCATCACTTAAAATGTTGTGCCTCATTTCCAGTTTGGACTCTGCTGACTTCAACTTCTAGCTACTCGCTCTTGTTATGCCTTTGCCTGCTAGATTAAAGAGCCCTCTAGCATCAGATACCTTCTTCCTCTGTAGGCACTTTCGGCCGTGATTAAATCACTCCTTAACCTTCTCTTCCGTAAACTAAATAGATTGAGTTCCTTTAGTCTTTGTAAGGCAACGAGGCCTCCCTGGGCTCCAAGTGAGATGAGACAGGCCAAAATTCTGTCCCAGCTCTTCTCCAGAGGCCCCACTAGCTTCTGCAGAAGCTCTCAAGAAAAAAAAAATTAAAAGTGAAATTTTCCAAGTGGCCTCATCTCAGCTCCATTTGTGCACTTGAAGCTTTATGGACACAAACACTTCCCACTCTTCCACCCCCCACCACCCTCTTATTTTGAGCATATTCATCTGTACGCACAGGTGATAGATGCTCGCAGAGGTTGGTACATATGAGTACAATGCACAAAATGCATTTGCTTGCAGGCTAAAGAGCACAACCATTTGGGGAAAAGTTCTTCAGTAATGCAGTAGGGCTCTATTGGAATTATTCTAAACCCTGCATCACTGAACAGAGAATGAAATCCTTTCTAGAGGCTTTTTTTTAACCTGCTTTATAGAATTTTGCTGCAGAGCTATAATGCTCTATTAGATTTTATACGTTGGTTCATAAAAACTATAGAGAAGTTACCATTTCCTATTCAATTCTGTGGATTTTTCCCCCAAGCTAGAAATATACACCCAATTGTTCATGCTTGCAAAGTTGTGCTTTTAGCCCTAAAATAATAATTAAATGGCAAAACAGTTCATTAATACAGATGGTGGCCTGGTGATAGCTCATGCCATTCCAGAACATAGAGTTCAGGAAAACTCAAACTTCTGGAAACCACAAAATATAGAGTTCAGGTAAATACCCACACCACCTTAATTCTGCCCCCTGGGAGCTGGCAATACCCACTGGGAATTATCTGCATGCAGAGGCAGATTTACAGTAAAACACAGGGTGCCCTGGCACGGGCCTCCCAAGGACAGGGGGCCCCAGGGCCAGGCAGCTGCGGGGGCAGAGGCTTGGTCCTGCTGGCTCCTGGGGCTCCTGCTGCAGGCTCCCACCCACCGACAGCCAAGCTCCCTCCTCCCCCGCCTCCTTCCCCGA